TGTTTTCTGGTTTATATTTAGAGAAAAGCTGATACCTCTGGCAGCTCAGTCTGACACTAAAAGCAAACCTCTGTCCTGTTTCTAACTGGTCTCTCCATCACTCCAGGAGGATGATAGGTGGGGGAAGAGACGATGAGGAGATGGGCTGAATACCCTGCCAGCCCTTCCTCCAGCATTCCAAAGCCAGCAGCCAAGTGTTGGGAATGGGCATTTTGTACATCCATCTTTGCCCTCCTAAGGCCCAACAGCAGTGGCAGTTGTGCCAAGAGGCTGTGGCTGGAGGTCAAACTCCACAGAGGTTCCTAACTCACCCTTTCTCCCCATTTTCTCCTAATTTCCCCCTCCCTTTCCAGAAAACCTGGATGCTGAGGGCTGAATCCTGGCTCAGCTTCCACACTCCTTGGGCTGGGGGATGTCCCATCCCATTCCCCCACGGGCACTGGCAGGAGAAGCTGCACCTTCAGCAGTTCTGCTCTGGTTTGTGGCTTGTTGGTATTTCTCTGCCTGTCTGGGGAATTGTATTGAATGGGCCTTATCTCTCCTGGGAAAGTATCGATCTGGAGTTTTAATGGCTTTCCACTAAGGAGCCACAATGAGTGTCACTGGGCACCACTGCTCAAGCTGATAAAAATGGGAATGCTCAGCCCCACAGCTCTGAAAGGGATTGTCACACCCCCCCTCCAAGCTTCTTCTACTGGGAAAAAAAATAAAGAAAAAAAGAAAAAGAAAGAAAAAGGGCAAAAGATTTCACTGCTCTTTTCATTCAATAAGTCCAAGGACAGATTTTCAATTTGTTCACTTTCTTTACAGCTCTGGTTTTGCCTGGGAGAGATGAGAGAAGGGGACAGGAGATTAAATGCATTAGTTTATTTTGGGAAGTCTTTCTAAAGGGGGAAAAAATAATATCAAAAAAATAAAAGAAGCAGAAAAAAGTGTGACACGAGGGAGACAGGACTCAATTAAAGCAAGACCTTGAAATCCATGAGCCAGCAGTGCCGACCACGGGTCCATCTGCCATCCCTGTCAGGCAGCAGATTTTGGCTCCTGGAGGCTGTGGCAGCTAGATCCATCACCTGGGGAAATAACCACCAGTGCTTACATCTTCAGCAGCTCCTTGATCTAGCGATAAACCCGTTAGGGGAAATAAATGGGTTTCTCCTGCCTGGACTGTCCACATCGTGGATGCGATTTGCTGTTTTACCCAACTGCTGATAAGCAGAGGATCAGGAGGGAAAAGCCACTTTAACGATTTCCTAATAAAGCCCCAGATAAGAGCAGAGCAGCACTATTACCTCACTCAGCTCTGATTTACAGCCCAGATTGCTGCTCTGGGCTGACTCCACAGGGGAGGATGCTGGTGCGGGGAGAGGTGCTCAGCTGGGGATGCTGTGCAGGGACACTCAACTCCCTCACCAGACTCCCTCTACTGCACTGGCAAGGGAAGGTTTTGATGCCATCAACATTAAAAATGGGGAAAAAAACCCCCAACCAACTTCAGAAAGAAAGTTCTGAGTGGAATTAGTAAGAAGAGTGAGGCTCAGAAACAAAAATCGCCTCTGGGTCCATTTCTAGGTATGGAAAATGGATTTCCAGAACAATATAATTCTTTTGACATGCCTGTCCTGGTTTCACAGCTGCCAGAAAACAGGTTAGGAAAAAAAAAGCCCAAAAGCTTCCAGGAGGCTTTGCTGGCTAGATGCCACCAGAGATGCCATCAAAAGGTCCAACCCCATCCCAAGGGTCTCCCCACACACCTGCTCTGGCTGTTGAACAAACTGTCCCATCCACCAGCATCAGAGGGTGTAGCTGACAGCTCCTCATTTGATTTTAATAGTTTGATTTTATTCAGAGTTTTGACACAATTTACCCCTCTTTTTTTTCCCCTCCCAACTGCAGATTTATTCTTTGCAATTAGCTGTGGGAATTAGAATCTCTTTCATATGGCAGTGGCTCTGCTTCTCTTGAAATCTCTTCCATGCTCCTGCTTAATAAATTGTGAATTTCATATTTGTATCCTCAGATCTCCCTTCCAAATGGAAACATGTCATGGCTGGGAAGACTGGGACAAGTGCTGCAGAACTGCTCAGGCAAGAGCTTGGGAAGGCAGTGGATGCTCCAGTAATCACTATGGCACAGCCAGGGCCCAAAACAGGCAGAGAAAAGCATTTCCAGGTGGCAAAGTCCCTTCTCTTCTACACTAACTCCTTCAGGAGCTGCCAGGTCTGAACCCAAAGCCACCAAGTTAACACCAAGCATTGGTGTCCACAATCCAGCTAAGGTCCTACATGGGATTTTACAGACTAAAGCATCCCTCTGCTCCCAGCTGGGGCTCCAGGTGGGATGAGGCAGGAGGGGCTGCCCCTGCCCCCACACTCCAGTCCCTGTCACATCCAGCATCCATGAGCAATCACCAAGAGGCCAACAAGAAAGGCTTTTCCCCAGGCATCACCCACTGTGCCCACTGATGGGGCAGAGACGTGACAGGCAATAGCAGAGCCTTCCTCAGCCCCATCACCCGAATTTACAGGCTGACTTGAGATCCAACAAGGGTCCAGACAGATCATTATTTCCCATGACAGCAGCAAAGGTGAGCCAGCCACCTTTTATTTCAGCTTGGAGAAAAATGCTCCTGCCAGGGGATAATTGGGACTCTCTGAGGTGGGAGGCAGTGCTGGGCTGCTGAAAGGTGAAGGCTATTTTAAAAGCAGCTGAGCAGAAACAGTGGAAAAAACTGCCTGGGGAGCTGATGTGTAACAAGTACTGCCTCAAGAGGCATCCCAAGCCTCTTGGTCTTTAAAACTTGCTTAGATCCTCTATAAAACCAGGTTTTATTTGGTCTTTACAACCCTGGGAGGTGAATTGCTGGTAGTTCCTGCTGGCAAACCCCCCTGTGCCTCTCCTGGGCTGGCTCCTGCCCACCCAGCACTCCCAGCAGCCAGGGCAAGCAGCACAGGAGCCTTTGCCAGGTGATACTTTGAGGCTGAGATGAAAGGTGCTGTAGAAGGGTGTTGTTGCTCAGCTCTGCAATGAGAGGTTTGTGCTGCTTTTATTTATACACACGCTGGCTGCAAGACACAAAAATTACTTAATCAATCCTTCCCCTTGGCTGGCGTCACAGGCAGGATGGAGGCTGCCTACGCAATTCTGAGCTGAAGATGATAAATTGCTCTGGGATAATGGCAGCATCTCCTCCTCCCTCCTGTCTCATCCAGCACAGGATGTGGCCGAGCTCACCCTGGTGGGCTCACAGGTTCAGATGAAGGGATACCCAAGAGGACACAAGCACTCTGTGGTGTCACCCTTCTAGGAGATGGAGGGGGAGCTAGGGGGGAGCTGGGCTCTGCCTGGTGCTGTAGTAGAGCTGAAGGAATGGGATTTTCTCCCAAAACCTGCCACAGGGAGAGCAGGCTGGCAGTGCCAGGGCCACATGGCACAGCTTGAGCGAGTGACTGGGTTGTAAGGGAAGATTTCATGCACTCATCCTGCTGTGCCACTGCTCCCCATCAGCCACCACAAGCCACAGGGAGACAAGCCTGCCAGGGCCTGGGACTCTTCAGTGACAGTGCCAGGACAGGCTGCCACCCCACCAGCCTCCCTTGCCAGCTGGGCCAGTAGCTCTTCCACACAGAGAGGGGCTGGGAGGGAGTTCCCAGCCCATAACTTTCCTGCCACGTGGTTTACAGGATGCAGGAGTATTGCTATCAAACACTTTCAAACCACAGGAGGGCTAAGCACCAACCTTACAGCAACACCTTGCTCTGCTGAGCAGCCCTACAAAAACCAAGCAGGTGAGCCCAGCCAGCATGAACCCAGCAAGATGTGCTGGGAGGGGAAATGCCAGCAGCAGGGAAAACACTCCCTAAAGTGACATGAATGGCATTAAGGGAAGTTGAAGAAGTGAAGACCATGTGTGGAAGGTGGTTGCTTGGAGCTCACCTCATCCTGTCACGGCAGCATCTGGGGCATGCAGAGTCATGATGCTGCTTTTGCAGCTGTTGAGCTGCTCCCTCTTCTCTGCCCTTGGTTGGTGCCCACTGGTAATTCCTTTTGGCTGCTGCAGCACAATCCTCCTCCCTGCCTGCACATTTGAACCCTGAGCAGCACCTGTGTCCCCACCACCACCTGCAGCCATCCCTGCAGGAATGGACAGCTCTGTGCATGGCCCAGCAGGGTGAAAAGCAGCCTGAGGGGTTGGGGGGTATCCCCTTTGGCCACGTTGCCTTCCCAGGAGTCCACCCCAGCCTCATCCTGCCCATCACTTCCCAGGGACAGCCTGGGGGCCACCCAGTCCCCACTGGCTCTCCCTGGGGGCACCATGGGTGCAGTCCCCGACGTGTCCATCCTACTCAGCTACTCTCCTTGTGCTTTGTCCTCCCCCAGCTCCACATCCACAGCAGCACCAGCAACCCCCTATGCCCCTCAACACAGAACTGCCCAAGAACTCCCAAAGAAGGGCTGGGAGTTGCTTCCCCTTTAATTTATCACTTCTCAGGGGGAGGGTAAAAAAAAAAATCAATAAATAAAACAATTTAGGATGCCTGAAGAGGATGAAAACCCTGAAACTGCAGTCTGCTGGTGGCTCATCCCATTGCCAGAGGAGGGGCTGGGTGTCCCCAGCCCCCTCTCCCCACCACCTCGTCCCAGTGCCACCAGGTCCAGGTGGGTTCGGATGTGGTTGGACGATGCTCCTCAGGAAGAAAATGAAACCAACGTTGAGAGTTCGGATGTGGTTGGACGATGCTCCTCGGGAAGAAAATGAAACCAACGTTGAGGACATGGTCATTCACAGTTGGCTGGTGGATGAAACAACCTCCAGAGTCTGACAGCCCTGGCTCACCCTCCAGGAGGGACCTGTCCCACCTCCCTCGGCTATTGCAGGGCTTTGAGGAAAAGCCACTCAGTGCACGTTGCGTGTCGCAAACACGGTGGGGACACAGCTCCCGTCACAAACAGTCCCTGCACAGAGCCACTTGTCCTTGGCGGGAGTCGCGCAAACTCAACTATTGACCCAAACTCAACCCTTGACCGTAGCCAGCACAGCTGAAGAGCAGTGGCTCCTTCTGGAGGTAGCACTCGTGGACGTTCTCGGCCACCGCAGGGTACAGATGGTTCATCTCGTACTCGGTGCTGTCACAGGTGATGCTGAGCCTGGGAGCAGAGAAAAAGGTGGGTCAGATCAGGTGAAGGGCCTGCCTGGGGGTTCTCTGAAGGGTTTTTGTCCTTTTCTTCACTCAGTGTGGGGGCAGATCTCTGCTGACCTATGTTTGGCATCCCTTGGCTAGACATGTCACCAACCCAACACACCAGGCAGGAAAGGGTGACCCTTGCAGCTCAACCCTGCAGCCCAGAGACTATCCCCACCCTTCCTGGATGGCTCAGGAAATCACCAACAATAACCCACCCAAATTTTCAAAGTTTGACTCATTATGGGTCTCTTACAGCTCAGGATATTCTATGATTCTTTTACAGCCATACATTGACCAACAGGTCTGTCAATTTTCCATGGACACCTTGCACAGCAGCTAACATTCTCTGGGAGGGATATGAGCTCAATGGATGTCCACATGTCCCCTGCTAGCTAGGATTAGCCAGAAAACTGGGATGGGCATCAGCAAATGCTCTGAAGAGCAGCAGAAATGCCCAGTGTGGATCTCAACATCCCTCCCAGACAGCGACAGAGCAGCAGCGCTGGCATCGCCTTCCCACCAACCCCTCTCCACTGACAAAGTCCTGAGCCAGCTTGTTTTAAGTTCTGGAGGAGGACGTGGAGGGGAGAAAGTGAAACCCAAGCCCCAGCTCTAATTTATCATATAAAAATGTCAGTGGGACGTGCAGTGCCTGCCTGACCAGCATGACAGCACCGGCAGTGCTTGCATTTTAATTGCCCACAGAGCAGCACGGAGCCCGGTGGCAGATTTATACTCTATTAAAACTTCACTGCTGTGTGTTCAAAATGCACTTTTATAGAGAAAGACATTAAAAAGGAGGAAAAGGGAGAGAGCATGGAGGGGGTAGAGAGGAACGGGGTGGGAGAGAGGTGGAACTGTGCCTGGAAAGGCTGTTGTGCCTTGTGAAGCATAAAGCTCATGAAGCAGCGACCTGCCTGCACTGCCTTGAGTATGAAGGCATCTCAATGGGATTTTGGCAGAGGGAACACGAGGATGGGGGTGCTGGAGATGAGGGGAGCAAAGGGAACATCATCTGGCTCCCACCCTCTGTGAAAAGGTCACAACTCACTGGAGAAACACCTCCTCCTTGTTGAGGAACCTGAAGAAGGTGGGCTCGCAGACCAGCCCGTGCCGCCGGCACGTCTCAGTGCAGGTGTGCTGGGTGTCTGACACCCACACCTGCAGGGAGTCCACTGGGGGCCACGTGTGGGGGTCCCTGCTGGCACTGGGGGACCACAGCAGGTGGGTGGCGTTGGGGGACAGGGCCAGTGGGCTCGGAGGGCTTTGCATAGCAGGACTCTTGCTCTTGGGAGGCAGAGGAGGAGACGATGTAGTGCAGAAATCCTAGAGACAAGACAATTGGTCAGTGCCTGGAGGAACAGGGTGAGAAGTTAGGGATGGGGAAGGAAGGCTGCTGGTAGGATAGGGGGACACTTGGGCTGCTGAGTTTGCTCTTCAGATTGAGGCCACCTGCATGCATAGATGGCATCTTCTGCTGTGGGGGATGAACACAACAGCCAACTGTTCTTCTCCCAAGAGAACAGTTCTTCTCCCAAGAACTGTTCTTCTTCTGCCTTATTCTCTGCAGCAGAAAGGCCTTGACCCAGCCCCAGTACCCCCAGATATCCCCCACCAACCCCCAGAATCTTTGGTTCATGACAAACCTCCCCCAGCCCCATCTGCTGTTCTCTGCAATTAGAGCACTGGCTGCACAATGCCCATGGGAAAACAGGGATGTTCCCCAAAGAAAAGAGGGAAGACTGGTCAGGAAAACAGAAATAGTTCCCCAGCAAGGACAGGGATGCTCCCCAACCTGGTGCTGAATGTAGGCATGGATCCTCTCCAGCATCCCCTCGGAAGTGTACTCATAAGGCAGGTAAGGGTCCACCTGTGAAGGGAAGAGCAGAGCACAGGCAGCAAGTGAGGACAGCCTTGCCCTGCCCCTGAGCCCAGTGGGCCAGGACAGCAGTGCCTTGGCCATGGCTTTCCAACCCACAGAAGCTCACAGCTCATGTCTGTCCACCAAACAAGCAGGGAAGAATCCTAGGGCTGGAAAAACCTCACAAGACATAAAGCTATAGAGAAAGAGGGAGAAGGATTACTTTGGGTTCAACAGTCACCCTGTTCCATTCTAGTCTCCCTTTTCTCCACTTCTAAGTAAGTTACCAAAATCAAATCAATTTTCATGCAATAGGTCTCTTTGAACACAAGTATGAACTGCTTTAGCCCAAGAAACACTCAGCAGCTTGGGCAAGGTGGGAGCAATTTTAAAATACAAGGGAGAAGTAGGACTGATAAAGATGTCAAGTTAATCCAGAACAAGAGCATCCTAGTGGTGCCCTAGGTCTGCTCTAACATCCTCTGTTCCTCTGACCTCAACACAGCTCTGCTTGCTCAGACACCAAGGTCCAGGCTTCACTGTCCCAGTGCTTGACCCACCAAACCAGCTGGTGAAAAGCCTGGGGCTGGGACTGGCTGTGCACAATACAGGGCAAAATATCTTTTTTCCCACTGCCACATCACTGAGGGTTTGCTCCCAGCACAGGTGGCCATGAGGGGGTGGAAGGTGGTGTCTCTGCCAGCCCAGAGCCTTGGTGCTCCCCACTGACACGGGCTGAGATGGGGCAGGGAGGCAGCAGCTGTTTGCACATTGGGATGGAGCAAACATTGATGCCCACGTGGATGTCAGTGCTCTTGCTGCACCTCCACGTTGAAAACTCCTATTTACAGAGTCAGCAGTGTTCAAACCACAGGGTATTTTTAGCATGGGTTACGAAACGTTGCAGGTCTTTGGGAGACTCTGCCTGCACTCACTTCCCAATATCTCCCTGCCCTGAGAGTCACCCTCAGATCCTGGCATGGCAAACCCTCTCCTCTGCACTGTGGCTCAGCAGTATCCCCCAAATGAGTGTGTCCCTGGCACTGAGGTGGCACAGATTCCAGGGTGGCTGTGTGGCCACTGTCCATAGTGATTTTCCCCCTGGGAAGAGCATTGCCATGAGGGCTGTGTCACTGCTACTCCCATTCCCTCTGGAACAAATTATTTTTTAAGGAACTTCTGCCCTGGGAAGACATATTTTTCCACACTCCCTTATTTGTCCAAAGATATGTTACACAAGCCATGGGATCTTGATGCATGGAAGGGGCCAGTCCTGGGACTCCCTCTGTGCATCTCTGCAGAGCTCCATGCAAAAGGATCATAAGCAAAACCACCCCACAGATAATTCAGCCAGAAAACACTGCTGATTCTATTTTCTGAGCTCTGCACCTCCAAAATAGCTATTTCCTTTTGAAGTACCTGTCAAACCCAAGCTCAAAGGCTCAGTCTGCTGAGAACCCTCTAAGCATCTCCCTGCCATAAATATCCCACCTGAGATCTCAGCCAGGCTGGAAATCACAGCTGCTCTGTCTAATTACAGATGTGCACACTAATCAGGACTGACACAGTGACAGGCACCGATCCTAGCTCTGAATTCCTGATGGGCTCTCAGTTAACTGGGCCAGAGTTCTCACAAAGCAAAACTGCCCATCTTGATCACACAAAGCCAGGCTGGGGGCTGAATGCTGCTTGGCACTAATCTGGGGGAGATAAACCACCCCTTGCTCAATATCACCAGTGCATGGTCTCATCTCACTACTGCTTTCACAGCTGCAATGCTTGGAGGCTTTTCCCAGGACCCCAATTTTGCCAGGCATAGTGAAAACATAACTCCAAAACTCAGTCTCATTCCCCCAAAACACCACTGTGGTACCTAGTGGGATGTAGTCTCTCACAGCAGAGTGGAGACAGAAACCTTCCTTGTGCCTGCACATGTATCCAGAGGTGATGCCCACCTGCCCACAAGCTCCCAGAGGCCCTGTGGGGTCCAAGGGCATCAGGAGGCTGTGACCAGAGCCCCTGATCCTCCAGCCCCTCTCCTCCTCAGGAGGTCCCCCAAAGGCTCTTGCTCCCTTTTGCTCCCCTCTCCCTGCCTAATAAGGATTCAGCTTGTGCACCCAGGACTGATAAAAAATGCCAATTTCGTGAAGATAATTGTTTAATTAAAATCTGACAGGTTTGGCCTCCTCTTGACAGCCACAGCATTAATGGCACTCCCAACATCAGGAGCTCAGCATGTCCCCAGAGCCCTGAGAGGGAGGAGGTGAGGCTTTCCAAGGTGGGGACCACTGCATCCCACTGCCTGGGATGCCACAGAAGGGAGATCAGTGAGGATGAACTTTCCCCAAGGTGGGGAACACAGAGCCAGAGCTTTCCAGCCCCAATACTCTCCATCAGCCAAACAGGGAGTTACTGGTGTCTCATGACAGCCCTGGTTTTATAGTCTCCATCAAGAGGAGAGCAGCAAATCTCCCTCACTCAAAAGGGAACAGAAAGGGGGAAAAAATCCAAACGTCATCAGACAAATAAGTAGGAAAATAATGCAATTCTCTGCTGGCACGTAACAGCAGGCTGGAACATTTTAACCAGCTATTTTCGCTGTGATGTTTAATGTGCTGCTCTTTCAGGCAGAGTCTGAAATGTATAATTTTCCATTATAGTCCTGTATGTTTGACTTTAATATAATGAAGCCTTCTCCCTTCACTACACCAGAATATAGGGTCTATTAAATTGCTTGTGCAAGGACTATTTTTGACACTGGATAAAGCTGAAGGCCCAGAAAATGGTAGTGCTTGCAAACTTCTCTCCTCCAGCCTCTAACTCCTGGATAACAGCCATTATCCAACACCAGGACAAGCTTCCCAGCATCTCCTATCTCAGAGGGACACAGTTTGTCTCTTTGCCCTGTGTCACAGGATTTGATCTCTAGGGGAGAGGGGTTTGGTGCTTCCATGTCTTCAATATTCCTTATAAATAGGTCAGGGAAACCCAAAACTGTTCCAAGTGGGATGACTGGCAGAGGCATGGCTTGCCAAAAGTCTTCCCCAGCACTTGGAGGGTGCCCTGGAGCAGCTGTCACCTCTGAAGGGACAAGAGAGGGGAGCACAAGAGCTTTCCTGCAAGTAAAACGTATTGCAAACCCAAGCCACGTCCAAGCTGTGATTCAGCTCTCTCTCCAGAAGGAAGAAGTTTCTTTCAAGCAAAACTAGGCTGGTGAGGGATGCTGCTGCATCCCAACTGCTCTATTTGCACAAACACAGCAGCCAGCCCTGCCAGCAGAGCCAGCAGCTCCGAGCACGCCATGGGAAGCTCTGCCAGCCCCGCGGAGCTGGGACAGGGCTGTAGCTGTGGGGATGGCACATCCCACACCCCGAGCTGCAGCCCCAGGTGTCAGCAGTGTAAACTGGGGTGCTGCACAGCCCTGCTGGCACTGAGCTGCCCACAGAGCCACAGCCAGGCTGGGGCAGCCACAAGTACTGCTAAAATATTGTAGAGCATCAGCAAATCCTGCCCAGTCAGTTTGAGTGTATCAGAATTACTGCCAGGTTCATGCAACCAGTTCCCAAATCCCTGGATAGGTTCCCAGCGTCCTGGTTCCCAGTCCCTGGCACTCTGGTCCCCAGTATGACTGCCACCAGGAAAAGCTGATGGCAGAGATCTCACAGCTTCCCACAACATCCCATATCCCCCAAAATACTGGCCTGGGTTTTGGCCTGGAAGATGCCAGGGACAGCTGTGGGATAAGGGATTTTTCAGTCATAAACCAACAAAAAAATGCCTAAATAAAATCAATTCCAGGTCAGTTTTCAATCTCCAATGTTTCCATCCATCGAGGAGGGGAAAAAAATGTTGTGTTTCAGGTTCAATCTGTCTGAGTTGGTGAAGCAAAGGGAAATGCATCATTTTCCTTGGGAGCCTTCCTTTCAATAAATTGGCAGGGTATTTCCAAACAAAAGCAAGCAGATGGGAAACAAAACCATAGTATTTCATTCCAGTAATGTTAAAATGAAATGTTTTGACAGAAAAAAGGGTAAATTGATGGTGGTTATTCTGAAACACAGACAAATTCGTTAGATATTCCAATAACAAAACACACCATTTTGCCTTTAGGGGGAAAAAAAAAAAAAGGAGTCAGTAAAAGAATTTCTCCAAGCTCCAGTACATGGCAGGAAACACCACCAAACTGTCCAGCCA